TGAAATGAACTAAAAAATAAGAAGCATGTACAAAGTCAGCACATGATTCTATAACAATAATATCTACCGATATTACGTACGGATGGTTTTGTACATTAAGTGACGCTTTGCAGAGCAGAGCAAGCTTATCTTAATTTAATAAAAATGTAAACACTTATGCAGTAATAAAGCAATGAAAAATAAATAAAAAATTGATCACGTAACAGATTAGACATGCTCTTAATATGTTGAAGCACGTGTAAATAAAGAGAAATAAAAACAAGGCATATTAGAGGTTAACATAAACAAAACGGATAACCACATGTTTAGATTGATTTTGATATTACTTACCTGTTCACGGCCTTCCTCTTTCGAGAATATCGTCGGTTTGACAATCGTAATTGACGATTATAATTAGATAATATTGGATCCTTACGATAACGGTGAGACATGTCTGTACGTATAACTCACTGATAACAGCAAACAACGATACAATAACTATTGAATAAGTTACCAAATAGATCTTAAACTAAGAAATTTTTTTTTTAAAAAAGATTTTTCTTAGAAATAAATTATTATTGGAAACTAATGCACATAAAAATGTTTAAACAACAATAAGGTTATTACACACTAGCCAATAGTAGTGGCGCTATGAGTAATTAAAATTGTGTCACAGTTAGCTACACCGTGTCAAGATTTCGCGAGGTTTTTTTTTAATTTGATTAGTTACAAGAAATATAATAAAATTGTAGTACAGAAGTCCTGAAATAATATTTGTTCATTTTATTTAATATTTAGATATGTTCTAATAAATCAGGAATTTCCTTATAAAAAAAGTACAGCAGCATAGATGAGATGAAACATTGCAACGAAAAATAAGGAGGGGAAGAAGAGGAATGTCTTCTGGAACACCAACCAATCAAATGTATTTTAAAACTACAGAGTGAATTGAAGACAGAGAACGCTCAACGAATGTATATGTATATATGTATATTTATGTATTTACAAACAGTACATTTTGAAATATTCATTTTTTTGGTAACAATTGTTATAAGCGAATTTAAACAGAAAAAGTAAATAGTGTTGAAATCTAAATTTTGACACAGAATGGAACGGTTGTAGATGAATATTTAACATTTTTCAATGACAAACCGACAGGTACGTGTAAGATTGGTGGGCGTGTCTCTTCGTGTAGTGTCTTGTCTCTCTCTCTAGTGTGTGATGCGCGAAATAACATAAAATACAAATTGCAGAACGTTATTATGTGAAACATAATAGTACACCTACCTACTCATTGCACACTTTATGTTTGCTTTTGAAAAGAATAAAAAAATTGTCTGAATTATCAATAGTCATTCATGTAATTAATTTTGAAGACGATCATTACTTTATTTGTTATTAATATGTGAATTCATTTTTAATGTTGTTCTACTTCTACTAAATAAATTTTTCTGGGCATAGCATGAAATAAAATGTGTTTATCCTTATACAATACTCTTAGAGCTATAAAAAAAGCAGTCATGCTGAACAATTTAAAAATTTTTTGTTATCTTTATTTTTAAAATATGCATTAATAAACAACTTATTACCCTTTTACTAAGTTTTTTTTATTTATTCACTGTTTATTTTTAAAAGTCATACATGCTTCTCTTTTCATAAAGAATAAAACACCTTATTTGCACTCATGGTCATTGAGCTCCCTGAAATATTGAATGATGTTGAAGAATTTTATGTGATGGGAGGAAATTGAAGAAATAGAAAAATTTTTATCTAAGGTGTTTAAGAATCTAATAAATTTTTTAAATTTACATAAGTACTAGATGATAGCGCAAGTAAATGTAACTTTACAAGCAGAATTAACTAAAGTGAATATGGTAAGTGTTAACAACATTTTTTCTTTTGAAGTTCGGAGAGATTCTAAATATTATAAACAACGACTTTTAGCCAGATTAGTATTAAATTTAGCGATGAATAATCAGTGCACTGTATGCACGTTGAATGAACTGGATCTGAAACCAGAAAGCAACTGGTTTTTGATCATTTCGAAAACAATAAACCAAATATATTCTTAATTGATGACACCGACACTGATATGTGTAAAGAGCAACTTTATACAGCATTTTCATTATCGTGTATAAAAAATAATCAAAATATGATTCTTGTTGATATAATTATTTGTTTATTGTCTAATTTCATCTTCGAAGAGCATCTACAATTTAATGTTATTTTCATATCAACGATAGATGTGTTGAAATCTAAGTAAATGTTAAAAACTAAATATATAAAACTTTGACTTGAAAATTATAATCTTCATTATCTATAAAAATAATTAAGTAAGAGAAGAACCTCAAATTGTCTATATCATTTATTCCTTGAAAAATAGAAGTCCAGAAGACTGTTTGTTCTGTGAATATTTTTTATTGTTTCAAAGTCTGTACTCTATGTACACATATACATATACAAATATACTATGTATATTTAAAATATCTTAAGAATGTTTTATTGCTTTAAATAATGTATTTAAGGTTTTGGATGGAATAAATATTCTAAATAATTGCTTGTAATCAGTCATATCCATTACAACATGTAATCAGCTGACTGTGAATGTCTTACCTTACGTTTGTGTAATTGCATGTTTTGCATACTCGTCACATCTTGATTGTTTGGTTGATTTCACGTATGATTTGCACATGCTGGAGCTTGTTCAGGTTTCTACACATGCGCAGAAAGATAGAATGAGTAAGACTGCGACAGAAGATATAACGCTCTTTGTCACTTGTCTTAGGGCCCTGAGTGATTTTGATACGCACTGTCGTAGAAATCAATAATCATTCCATGCTTTTCAGAGACCATTGCTGCGCCACCTGTCGAAAATGGAAACAATACGATTCTGTGAATGATCACCTGAAATTTTTCTCGCGAAACTGTGTTTTATTTATTCGTTTTTTTATTATAAAAAATTTTTTTAAATATTCCGAACAATAGTATGTACATCGGAAAACAACGATTTACAGTAGAGGTACAGTGGTTATTGTGAAATAAATCATTTTCTCGTTGACGGCTGATGACAGCGGTATCCGCCATGATACCTCTAAAATCTAGTGAAAAGTGAGTGCATATCTTCATCCTCTTTTTTAATTATGATAAAGTAATTAATGTTATTATATCGTTGTTTTCCGATGTGAAGAATAAAATCAACTTTCGATTGAGTCCTAAATTAACTAAATTCATCCATTTTTGACGCCGTCATTTGTAGAGAAAAATTTGCTAGAAACTTTCTAGGGGAAAATCTGTCTACAGCCCAGCCTTAATAAACACTCTTACATTCAAAATTCATTTAAATTCAAAAATTTCGATAAAATTCAGCACTCATACGCCATCTCTGAGAATTATGAAGTTATATTTATTTTACGCACTTATCATCGGTTAATTCGATATTGACCATAGGGTACTTCCAGTTTATTTGTATAGTGAGAGTTACCTTTCACTTTTTTTAATCTCTAAAAGCAGGGATAATAACTTAAGCCAGAGTAGCGACTGATTCTCCCTCTCCAAATATGTGGGATCGGGATATTTCTAATTTCTTCGTCAATTTACAATTATTTCTATAAAACTGGGTACCAAATTACAGAGGAATTAATGCCGGACTGACGTAAACAAAAATTTTTTGTATATTATGAATATTTTTATTAAAAAAATTAAAAAGGAAAAATGAGCATATCCTAAATTGATTTGCCGCACTTCAATTCCACGATGGCGGCCACATCATTCAGATGAAAAATCACTAATTATTTTATTTTTATACGTCTTTCGTCGAAAATTCATGTTTGCGTCAGTCCTTGCTACCTATCTAAATTTTTAAAAAATCAATTTGTAGTATAAAATTGAATAATTTAGAAATAATTAGAAATATTGTATTCCAGATTAAAAAAATTCCGATAGGTGACAGCATTATGCTCGCAGATTTGGGGATTAGCCTTTATTTCCCCCACCTTTCTACCTTGAAATATATAATGCTAGAGTTTTTGATCTAATGTACATCTTATGCACATCGCGTGCAGTTAATGTTAATTTAATGTAACAATAGTAGTAGTTTGATTATAAATAAATAATTGTTATTGATAATTGGACTTAATTTCGTGGGTCACATTTGGTGACCCCGACGTGATTTACGAACGTTTACGTTTATTTCGTTCAACGCGTGAGAAGCCACTATTATCTACGTCTTCAAATTCATCGAGCAACAACAGCAGATATGACTAACGAGAATGATGTAAATCTACAACAAGGTGAGACTGCACATATGTCATCAGGACAACAACCAAATTCTGCTACAGATACTGATTCTGCCATCAGCACTATTGAACGTCTGCAGTTTCCAACCTTTTGATCCGAAGAACCTGAGCTATGGTTTAGTGCGTTGGAAGCACAGTTTTATTCTCATCATATCACTTCAAACGCTTCCAAAAATAGTTTTGTGATCAGCAAGCTCGACCAAGCTACAATGATTCTCATTAAAGAGTTAGTTATTTATCGACCAGCTACTGACAAGTACAACGCTATCAAACAGGCATTACTTAACCATTGTTCGCAGACTGATGAAAAGAAATTTTGTAAGATGATTACAGGCCTGTCTCAAGCTGATCGCAAACCTTCTCCCATGTTAGCTGAAATTAAGTCATTGAACAATGGGAAGCTTGATGAACGCACCGTACGGATGATCTGGTTGGATTACCTTCCACGACAAATGCAGTTGACTTTGATTCCGTGTGAGACTTTGGATTTGGATGCTGTTAGTTAACTGGCTGACCGTATTTGGGACCTTCCACAAAGTCATCCCGCATAAGTAGCAGCAGTAGAACAGGAGCCTCATACTAGCAAAGAAAGTTCTTTAGAAGAAAAAGTAACTCAGCTCCAAGAACAGTTTAATCGGAAATCTCTCAAGCTCGGAAATCAGAAAATAGCAAACTCTGCTACTATCATCGCAAATTTGGTGAGAAGGCTAGGAAGTGTGCACAGCCATGCGAGTTCAAGGACAAGCAGGAAAACTAGGAAGTTCATCAGCGATAGTGGCGGTCACTGATGATGGTAATAAACCTTGTCGTCTATTCATCTATGGCCGTGATACCGGACAACGCTTTTTTGTCGATACGGGAGCGGAAGTCTCAGTCATTCCTGCTACCCGTTTAGATAAAACAATTGAATCGGATATCAAATTATACGCAGCCAATGGAACTCGTATCGCTACTTTCGGTCAGAAAGCTCTTAACCTCAACTTAGGTCTTAAACGTTCGATTAGATGGATCTTCAGAGTCGCAGATGTACCGTACGGCATTGTTGGTGCTGACCTACTTTATCGATACCACTTGGTAGTTGATATTACAGATCACCGGCTTATTGACATGAAAACTGGTATTGGATCAGGCGGTAAATTGGAACTTGCTTCCATTATTGGTATCTCTACTATAAATAAAGACGAGCCCTATACACCTATTTTTAAACAGTTCCCTGGAGTTTTTGGACTACTATACATAAAGCTTCAGCAAAACATGACGTTATGCACTTCATACCAACAACTGGGCCTCCAGTACATGAACGACCTCGACGACTGACAGCCAACATGCTTAAAAAAGCCCGAGAAGAGTATCAGTTTATGATTGATCAGGGTATTTGCCGCCCTTGTAGCAGTCCCTGGGCTAGTGCACTTCACATGGTGCCAAAAAAAGATGGCGATTGGCGACCTTGCGGCGATTATCGTCGTTTAAATTAACAGACCGTTCCTGATAGGTATCCTGTAGCTCACATCTTGGATTATACATCAATTCTACATGGGAAGAGAGTATTTTCAACGATCGGTCTTGTCAGAGCATATCATCAAATACCTGTAAATCCCGAGGACGTGCCAAAAACAGCTATGATAACGCCTTTTGGCCTTCTTGAATTTTTAGTTATGCCCTTTGGGCTTTGTAATGCTGTGCAAACATTCCAACGATTTATCAGACAAGTTTTGCAAGGTCTTGATTTTGTTCATGCTTATCTGGACGACCTCCTCATAGCTTCAGAAGATGAAGAGCAGCATGTCAAACACCTTAAAGCAGTTCTTGAACGCCTTCGAGATTATGGTCTCACAGTTAAAAAAGAAAAATGTGTGTTTGGCGCCAAAAGTGTCCAGTACCTAGGTTATTTAATTACAGCAGAAGGTTCTAAGCCACTGCCTGATAAAGTCAAAGCCATCAAGGAATTCAAACAACCTCAAACCATTTCAGATCTTCGTCGTTTTTTAGGGATGATAAACTTTTATCGTCGTTTCATCGAAAATGCAGCAACTCTTCAAGCTCCTCTTCATGCTCTCCTAGAAGACGTTCGTAAAAAAGACATGAGACCAGTTGAGTCGACAGACGAAGCTCTCAAAGCTTTTGAACAATGCAAAGCCAGTCTCGCTGAGACAGCTCTGTTAGCTTATCCAGCACGTGAACCGCAACTCCGACTGACCATTAATGCATCTAATGTAGCAGTTGGTGCAGTTTTGGAACAACGAACTAACAACAATGAAGATTGGAAACCACTGGGTTTTTTCTCCAAGAAGTTGACATCAGCAGAGGTTAAATATAGTGTGTATGATAGAGAACTAACTGCAATATATCACGCTGAGAAATTTTTTACATCGTGGATGGAAGGATATAATTTTGTAATTCGAACTGATCACAAACCTTTGACACATGCTTTTTCGCAAAAGTCAGACAAGGCTTCGCCACGTCAATCCAGGCAGCTGAGCTTCATAAGTCAGTTTACTACACAAATAGAGACGGTTAAAGGTGCTGAAAACATTGTAGCAGATACATTTCCAAGAATAGATGCTACTAGCTCTGATCAACTACTTCGATTGCCTACTATCATCGACTTTAATGCCTAAGCCGAAGCACAAGCTGCTGATCCGGAACTTAAAGCTACAAAAGCTTACGTTTGGTTTGCAGCATAAAGTGATGTGGTGTGATGTTTCTCAAGAAGAAATTCGACCGTATGTACCTGAATGTTTTAGAGGACAGGTGTTTGAAGCTTTCCATAACCTATCTCATCCTGGTGGAAGAGCCACGTGTAAATTAATTCGTCAACATTGCGTATGGCCACATATAAACAAACATATAACCCACTGGGCTCGTAATTGTGTTCCCCGCCAGCGCTCTAAAGTTGGAAGACATGTGCACGTTCAACCATCGACCTTCTTAGAACCTGATCAAAGATTTGACTATGTTCACGTTGACATTGTAGGGCCGTTGCCTGAGTCTGAAGGCTACAAATACTGCTTAATAATGGTGGATCGTTTTTCAAGATGGCCTGAAGCTGTGCTTATTAAAGATATTACTGCAGATACCATCGCCAAGACATTTTTCACAGCCTGGATAGCTCATTACAGTTGCCCAAAGACAATAACTACGGATCACGGTACGCAGTTTGAAAGTGTACTGTTCATGGCAATGACTAGTTTAGTGGGTAGCAAGAGAACTCGTACTACACCTTATCATCCAACTGCCAACGGGCTTGTAGAGAGGTGGCACAGAGTCTTGAAAACGTCTATATGCTGTCATGAAACTAAGGAATGGGTAACTATTTTGCCTACAGTTCTTCTAGGACTACGAACTTGTTACAAAGAAGATCTTAAAGCTTCTACAGCAAAATACATGTATGGAACAACCCTGAGAATTCCAGGGGAATTTTTTACCCACGTATATTCGCCATCAGATCCAAATATCTTCCTGGAAGAGTTTCGTATTCACATGCGAAAGTTGAAACCTGCGCCCGTCAGTCATCACTGCAAAACAAATACCTTCTGTTATAAAGATCTTTATACATGTTCACATGTGTTCGTACGGCACGACGCTCTCAAGCAAGGATTCTATCAACCATATGCCGGTCCTTTTAAAGTTTTAAATCGAGTCAGTGACAAATTGTTTACACTGGATATTAATGGACGAGAATCTAATAGCAACGTTGAGAGGTTAAAACCGGCTCATTTAAGTAGTCAGGAACTTTTTAGGTTTCAAGTACAGCCGCAATCATCAGCCAACGCTTCGTCAAGTCAAGCTACCTCATCGTCACTTCGTACATATCCTGGACCAAAGAAGAAAAGAGTGCAACTGCAACTCAAAGACTGTTAGTTTAAGAATCCCTTTTTGACATTTCTTTTTCTTTTCAAAACTTGCGCCCTAACTCCGTTGCTTAGAGGGGGGTACTTTGGGGATCAGCCTTTATTTCTCCCACCTTTCTACCTTAATATATATAATAATATCAGTGCTCTGCAGTGGTCTAAGTGCGACCCGAAAGGTCCACACGACTAACTTCCCAGTGGAGAAAATAAAAAAACACCATTTTTTTTTATTGTTATAATAATTATTATTATTAAAAGTCATATTTTTCATTATGATTATAATTATTATTATTTTTATTTCAAATTTAAGCATAAAAATGCTGATAGACGGTAAGACCCCCGCCACGGCCTCTATGCCCTCTGGGGTCTCCCCATCCTTGACCTCCTCCTCGTCCGCGACCATCTCTTCTTCCTTGACCACCACCTCTTCCTTTACCGCTTCCTCGTCCTCGTCCTCTATCTTTTCCTCTGCCCCTGCCTCCAATCCTCCCCCTCACGACTGATCGTCCTCCAACATAATTTCCCCCCTCAGCCTGTCTTTTCTCTTTCGGGGTGTGGCGAGCACCCCCATTCTTCCCTCTACCTGTAGATGATAATAATAATAATAATAAAAAGAATAATAATAATAAAGTAATGAATAAATAAACAAGAAAAAGAAAAAAAAATAGTAAATAGATAAAAATTAATAAATAAATGAATATATAAGAAACAAATAAATAAAAAAATTAACGAATAAACAATAAATAAATAAAAAAGTCAATATATAAACAATAAATAAACTAATAAATATATAAAAAACGAATAAATAAACAATAAAATAGATCAATAAATAAAAAAAAGAAATGGATAGAAAAATTAATATATGTGAAAACAATAAATAAATTAATAAATATAGAAAAAACGAATAAATAAACAATTAAATAAATCAATAAATAAAAAATAAATAAATAAAAAGATAAGTAAATAATATAATCAATCGATCAATGAAAAAAAAATTAATAAATAAATAATTCACAAATAAACAATAAATAAAGTAATCTAATATCCGTCTGCTTTAAGCGATTGGATTTTAGTAAATAATTTTTTTAAGTTAATCTAATATCCATCTGCTTTAAGCGATTGGATTTTAGTAAATAATTTTTTTCAATTAATCCAATATCCGTCTGCTTTAAGCGATTGGATTTTAGTTAACAATTTTTTTTAAGTTAATTTAATATCCGTCTGCTTTAAGCGATTGGATTTTAGTAAACAATTTTTTTAAGTTAATTTAATATTCGTCTGCTTTGAGCGATTGGATTTTAGTAAACAATTTTTTTCAATTAATCCAATATCCGTCTGCTTTAAGCGATTAGATTTTGGTAAAGAATTTTTTTTTAATAAATCTCATTCCTGTCTGCATAAAGCAATCGGATATAAATAAATAGCAAAAAAAAAATACTGTTCACTGAAATGAAAACGAAAAAGCAGTCACAAAAAACTAAAAATGAAATGAAAAAAAGAAATTATCGTGAAAGACAAGGTAAAGTTAAAAATCGTGTTTCACCATGTATAATTAACCAACAAAATTCGGAAAAAAAACAAAAAAATATACGCGAATTGCAAACAAACGCAAATTGTAAGAGCGTAGAAAATGAAAAAGCAATGTTAAGAATGCGTACATTACGAAAAAATTCGCAACATCGACAAATTGAGAATATTAAAACCCAACAGAGAATGGCATCATTGCGAAGTGACGAAGATTTCAGAACTGCTGAAAATCAGAAAAATCAAGTCCGAGTCTCCCAATTACGTCGAAATAATAATTATAGAAAACACGAAAATGCTGTAGCACGAAAACGTATGTCGTCCTTACGAAGTGACGAAGATTATAAAGCATTCGAAAAACTGACAAATAAACGGAGAGTGTCTCAATCACGTCTAGATGATGATTATAGAGCACTCGAAAATATTGGAACTCAAAAACGTATGTCGTCCTGACGAAGTGACAAAGATTATAAAGAATCAGAAAATTTGAAAAATTGTCGACAAATAAAGAAATCGCGGCTAAACGAAACTTACAGAGAAAACGAGAGTATCGATACGAAACTACGAATTGGAAATTTACGAAAAAATCGTACTTTTCGTAACAATGAAAATTCCCAAAATCTTCGTCGGATACAAATGTTAGGACGAAGCGAACAGTTTAAAATTACTAAACAAAATCGACTTGATTTAAAAGTTCGTATGTTACGTCGTAAACTGCAACTTATCAAAGATGACATTTTAAAGATGAAAACAAAACTAAGAGCGATTCAAGGATCCACAGTTTCTCAACGCTCGAGAAGAGCAAGAATGATATCCGGTATGAAACATTCGAAGCGATATTATTACGATATTCTTAAAGTAATTAAAACCTGTATTCAACACAAGAAAATGTTACAAAGAGAAATTACATATAAAACACGTGAAAATAATACAAATCGTGGAAGAATGCGATTACTCCGGCATTGCCGTTCATACAAACGAAATGAAAACATAAAAAATAAGAAGAAAATGAGAGAATATTGATCGAGTAATGCTAAGTATCGAAATCGCGAAAAGTGTATCGATGCTAAAAATAAAAAAGACATGAGAGCTAACGATGT